CTGGTGCAGAATGATCCCTGTGTGTCTCCCAGGTGGGGCTGCTGGTGCAGAATGATCCCTGTGTGTCTCCCAGGCTGGGCTGCTGGTGCAGAATGATCCCTGTGTGTCTCCCAGGTGGGGCTGCTGGTGCAGAATGATCCCTGTGTGTCTCTCAGGTGGAGCTGCTGGTCAATGAGGGATGAAGTGGGTTCCCTCCTGTATGTGAAGCACTTTTAATTCCTTAGTTAGATCTATTAAGATCTTTACATACTATGTAAATGTAAGGAAAAATAAATATTAGTAGTAGCATTGTGTCCATTTAGGCTCCACGGTCAGAACATTGCGTTTTCTTTCTTCTCTTTTCAGCATGGAATATATCTATTACTTGTTCCTTTGCAGCCTACGCATGCAGATGCAGCTACCACCTGAACTACTTGTGTTCATTTAGATCACACCAGTGAAAATCATTTCCAGACCAACTATTTGATTGTGAAAATTGAGAAAGACAGGCTGTCCACTCTAAATAACAAGAACAGGAAAGTAAATCACCTGCTGTGTTAGGATCTGAGCAAGTTCTGTCTCATTAACAGTGTATCCCTGCCTCAGTAATGACTGAACACCTGTGGGTGCAGTCTGCGTCAAGACTCAGGGGCTGGCTGGCAGGTAATCATATGGGTTTGTTTACTGAGACCAGAAACAGGACTGCAGGACTTACCATGGAAAAAAATGTTCCCAGTACAGACAGCAGATTTAGAGCAACACTCCAGGCCAAAACAAGATCACAGTTCCTAATAAAGAGGCCAGTGCTGGATTCATGCAGTGGAGTCTTCAAAAATGGTTGCAGTATAGTTTTACTAAAGCTCACTCTTGCTCACAGGACCCTGCAGCTGTGGAATTCCTTCCAAAAATAACAATGTTGGACAATCCAGTTCTATTTATCGCTTCGTTTGCCACTTTATTCACACGCAGTCACAGAGAGCAGAGCCCCAGCGTGAGTAACTGAGGGTTGACAGGGCCTGTGAAAGGCCTTGTTAACAGCACCCTCTCCTCAATGGGTGTTTAATCCCTCTCCCTGTCATTATCGTGCTGTGCGGCTGTTCCGGGAAACACACTAATTGCGAAACCTGTCAGAGAACAAGCTGTGACGCTTATTTCAGCTCTTCCTGGCTCCTTTACAAACACTACAAAAAAAGCCATGATGATCTCCTGTTCTCCACAGCACTGCTGAGCTCTGGGGGTGTGAGGGAGGAGAGGGGCCCCTCACTGAGCTCTGGGGGTTTGGGGGTGGAGAGGGGCCCTCACTGAGCTCTGGGGGTTTG